GATAATCCCTTTGGATGAGCTGATTCGATTACCCACGTCTGTCAATCTGATCAGCAACTTCTTTGATATCTGGAGGATACTCGTACTAGCATGGTAGTGCAGTCCTGCCTGAATTCTCCAAAAGATACTTCTAATTTCTCATTAAAGCCATTTTCCTTGCACGTTTAGCGCTGTAACACCCTGGGGCCCATGCATCCCATATGTGGGTTGCAGTCTGGCAGCTTTGTGGGACCTTATGACCCATATTTTGGACATAAGTGTTAGGTTTTTCTTTTGTTTCTCCTTCCAATTCATACTAAGGATTTATTTTGGCTTATTCAATAGGTTTTTGTTTCCATTTCGATGGATAGGATTATGTAGAATCTGAAGTCCTGAGTGGTCGCAAGACGTAAAACATGCGCGGCCTCCAACGTGTTAATTTCCCATTGTTCGTTTTCCAAATCTGAAATTAACCTAATTTAGATGACCGATCTTATCTACATTATTCCGCTATTCTTTGCCTCTTCACTTGCTCAAGAGCGACTGATGGATCTTCCACTGCCGTCTGATTACTGCAAAAACGGAGGAGTACTTGTCAATGTGAGTGTACTACGATAGTCTAATTGAAAATTTCCGAGAAGCCGTTGGCATACTCCTTACATTAAGCCAGTGGAGAAGAAGCATAGCTATAAATTGGAGCGAAGCGCTCCGCGTAAATTAGCTCAATAATGACCCATTCGAGAGAAATTCTGTCCTAATTAACCGGGTTGTTAAGATGCTCCAAGAGAGCAGTGCTTTCTTTGCTATCATTTGCACTACATATGAGATTCATAGGGGTACTTGACACAGCGGTACCTGCGACTGTGCGGGACTAACGCTAGGGAGGCGAAGAAGAAGAATAGGGGCACTCATCGTGGTCGAGAACAACACCCCCTTTCAAAATGGATCGGTTTTTCTCTAGCCATCCATTCCCTACTCTTCATACTTCACCAAGTCAGCGAAACCTGGCCATTGGCCCGAGCACAACCGCTCCAGGTATTCCGCTTGGCCTAGTCCAGTCCTGCCTTTCCCGTCTTCTTTTGAGGTTACGCATGCGATCTGTCTGAAGATCTGATTTTGGCCTCAGTTGTATCACACCTATAGATGACGGTCTCCACTCTAATTACCTCATCAATCTGACCCATCCGTGAAAACTCCTAAAAGTCAGAGTAGCCGTTTTGATTCCGAGCGGTTGTAGCAGCAGGCGTAGACCTCTGACTGTTCGGGGACTTTAAACTGGCGGTCACATCTGGTGATGTGCGCTGAGCAGAAAGAGGTGGTCAGACACCTGGCGTATGAGTATTCAAGAGCCTCAGCGCGTGGGAATCTATCAAAGAAGTGAACACGAATGAGGATTAACGTTTTTGATTGGCCGGATTAACCTGTACGCATGGGATTAGGGCGCTTGACAGTAAGTGTCATGCCGCTGCTCCATAGAGAGAGAAATGGGCCAGCACGAGCAGAAAGAGCCAGTGACCCGCTTGTAATCAACTTAGGTTATGGGTGTTAGGGAGGTTCCACTAGTTTTTGAAGGAGTTAAAAAAACACCGTAATCTGCACTCTCCACGTTATCCCTTGTTGAGACCTTGGCACTTATTGGTCGAATAGTTTGATTCTTTTGTGCCACGCGAGGCTTGTAGTCAGGGGCAACTGTCCGTTCGCACTACTCGAACGAGGGGGTCGCTTTTGCGATTTTGGGAAGGAAGGGGGACGAATTTTGGAGCTGAGAAAGGTTTAAAGGTCAACTATGTTTTTGGGAATCAGCGTGAATGGAGTCAACGGCCATTACGCACTACAGCGCGACCTAAGATAATAGTGCGTAAAAAAGCGTGTGTCGTTGATAGGTTTTGTCAAAAGTTTTATGAAGCAAGCGCACATAAGTAGTACGAAATTTGCACTGGGAGTTCCTCTTATTAGGTTGTCTGGAAAGAAAAAGTGGGCGGAGTTGGGTATGTTTTCTGGTTTCAGATTCAATTACTATAGAAAAAGCCATGATGATGGTGAGGGCGATGGTCGAGGTAGGAAGGAGGGGTGTCGTATTGGGGGAGCCTCATAAGAGTGATGGTGGTGATTGGTGGGGGTTGCATTGCACCCCCCCCCTTATAGGAGGCAGGTCCAAATTTTGTAGAAAATTTGCGATAAACGAGTGACTGACCCTGTTGTAGTTGCGAATTGGTATCAACCGGCCCGACAGTTTTCCAACATTTTCATCTTCTTATTAAGGCTTGAAGATAGCTCGAGAAAGTTTGATTTTGTAAACTACCCCATCTAACGTTTCACGTCGTGTTGAGAAAAACTTCGGAATCACACAAGGACTGATGCAAGAACTCATCAAAGGTTCTTTACCTACCGTGATCTACAGCGGTTGTTTAGGGTGAATGTGTATGTACTTTACGCATACGAAGGAAAAAACATGGCGAGCAAGACCGATGTCTGGAACGGAGGTCGCCGACATTCAGTCAATGGACAGGTGAGTTTATTACTTCTTCCAATAACTCCAAAATATTTCAGTAACTTACTCATTTTCAACTGTCACTTTTTTTAGGTTCGATGTCCACTGCCCGTTTGGCTTGACGGGTGAACGCTGTGAAAAGGTCACATATTGTGAGCCTGAAAAAGGTAATTAAAATTAATATGCACATTTCCTTTCAACCGCAATAACTAATGAACGGGCAAGTCATTGGAAAAACTTTTTTAAAAACCCAAAGGGCAAAAAAAAAAAAGGGGCTTTTTTTTTTTTTCGAACAAAAAGCGGGCGGGCGCTGTGTGAAATTTTACTACGAATCTATTTAGAGCAAGTTAATTAACCTGGCAAATGTGAAGTAAATGCACGAAAATGGACGGGACTTTTCTGCCACATGCGCACCTGTTACAATGGCCATTCCCACCGGCGGAATGGTGAGCACTAATCTTCAATGCATCAAATTGTGCCCATCATAACCCTCATGCAAAGCCTCAGAGGGATAATGAGATTTAGAAGATGAATAGCTGTTGTTCAGGAGGGTTTCTGTCTCTGTGACATCGGCTTTACTGGACCATTCTGTGACGTGCCGCTTGATTTGCAAGAATGGAGGAACGGTTAACCAGGTAAGTATCGCTCGTTACTGCATAGAGAATTTGTAAAGCAACAACATTTTGAACCTCCGGAAACTGTACAGTAGCCTGCGCCCATGTCCTTGCGGGGTGGGGGACAAACAGAACCTTTGAAAACAGACGCCAGAGAGGGTAAAAATCGCATGCATCCTCCCCCAAAGACGACTCCCCTCCCTAGGAGCACAAGTTCAAAAGTAACTAGATTAACTGGCTCACCTACTCGAACTTTCCCCTAACGGGACAATGAGCGCCCATTATCAACAAGAGAGGTGATCTTCGCACGATGAAAAAACAAACTACGCCATGAATACGCCTGGCGCTTACAGTGACACAAGTAATAGGATGCGTTGTAATCCGATTCAGAGTTTGGGACAGGAGTACACTCGTTGCGTTGATCAGATTTCGGGATCAGCAACGACCTCTATCCTCCTCGAGTCAGATCGTAGCGTCCATTACTCGCAAAATCCGTCGACCGCTCCGTTCCGATGTGGGCAGGGCGAGGTATGGGGAAGGTGGTTGCATGAGACGCCGACAATTGCGAAATTCTCTGAATCACCTAGAAATTTTCCGAGCAACTTCTCACTTTCCAACAAGCTACTGTACCAAGGATACAGTACCAGTTCCACTAAATAGGACCCAAGTGTGACACCGCTTCTCTGAACGTTGTCAACGGATGGTTGACCCTGCTGCGATGACCGCCTCCTTTAGTATGCATCCCTTTCGAGCAACTGAGCACCCAGTTCTGAAAGAATGTTTGGAAGGGTCATGATCGGTCTTAAAACCATTTAGAGATCCGCTGAATCTGCGTCGCGTCTTCGAAACTTAAAAATGTGTACGGTATCACTACGTGAGGATGGATCGGTGTCAGATCTCAGCCGTTATCCACTTATGTTGTAGAGCGATCAGGAGTGTCACTACGAAGTGATCGATGGGCAGCAATTAGGTGTAGATAAAAGTGATACATCAACTGCTGGTGTGTAAGCCTTTTGTGTAGTAAAGAATGGTACAGCGAGATAGATGAGTGGGAGAGATGAAGGAAAAGAGAGCTGGCTAGAAAGAAAAGAAATGAATAGAATGATTGAGAATCTGCTAAAAAAAGAACTCAATTCTGGAAATTGTGACTGAAGCCTACGGTCCAATCATGAGAGACAAGTGCACCGAAGGTTAGCAAACCAAGGAGTCGATTTCAGCATTCGACCCAAACAGCGAAGAAATGTTCTTCTACGAGTCGCTCCAATGGCTTAATGATTTGGCATCTCCTTGAACTTTAAGCACTTTCAATCTGCCGCCTACCTTAGGTCATCTACCACTAGCACGACTAGTGGGATCAAACTCCACTCAAACCAATCGAACCATCCATTCCCGCTTGTCGGCATATGAGACCAGACATTTGAAATTAAATTGGCTGGCGTTGGGCTGGAAATGGTGTAGCACCTAGCGCTGTCGCATATAACGAGCCAGCCTGGGGTCAGTCCGGGATTGAGTGTCGCCTGGGTCAACCAGCTTTCTACCCCTTCCAAGGTCTAAATGTATCACACTCATATAAAAGGATAAAAACCGCAAATCATTGTCATTAGGCCACATCACACTCAAATGCTATGGAAATTCTCGACGGAAGAGAATGTGTGGCGCATCCCAGTACGGTATCGATTCACCCCAAATTTATCCCTAGTCGGCTGGCACTGGCTAAATGTGCATAAATGGGATGCAGATGTTGAATGCTGGAACCGACGAGTTGGAATTGGGCGGAAAAATCGCCGCGTTTACCGCCATTGTTTTCACCCAGACCGTACCGTTTTATCGTTTTCGGACTTTTTCAAATGCTAAAATGCTAAATTCAGGACAATGAATGCTCGTGCACACCAGGCTATACTGGAGAGCGATGTGAACGCTGTGCTCTCGGCCATGTACAGGAAGGAGACCGATGTATCCCTGAGGTAGAATTAGTGAATACTTTCTCGTCTTATACACGTTTTCTATCTTCCTTTTGAGGTGTCCGAGGCTTCGCTGGGCCTAGCAAACGGGATCCCTTCTCGTCCAGAGCATTTGCTTGGCCTTTCCTTCTGATGGGATCTGTTGCTGCTCTGGCTGTCGTTCTACTTATCACCATCGCCACTGCAGCAGTACGTCGATGGAATTCGAAGACGTCTAGGGAAAGCAGTGTTCGGGGACAGCCTGATGCAACGGATGTCTAGTCTGATTGATTATATTGAAAATATTAGAAATTGGTTACTTTTGTGTACTTTAACAACGGAGAACGAAATGCATCCGCTGGCATCGCATGCGGATGGCCGTCTTAAGAATTGTGAGAAGAATAGTACACGTTTATACTCAGCAGTTTGGAAGATTCGTAGAATCCGCGAAAATGAAAAAAAAAACTACACAATTTCTGCATAACTTGGGACAGAAAAATAGAAGGGAAGGAGGATGAGAGAAGTCGGAAAAGAAGTAGAATCGTACTAATCCCAATGCATGTCTTATCACGAATCGGCGGCAACGATACACGACCAATCCTTTTCGCGTGCTCTCAAATTCTGCTATTTTTCCGAAACGCTGAGTATAAACGCGGCCTTCAATCGCGAAGTCATGCGGCATTGATCTACTGATCGATCGGTAGATCAATGCCGCTTCATACCTGCACGCTTCAGAAATTTTCTCAGGTGCTATCTTAGTTGGGGGGGGGGACCACGCGGCGGCGCGGCGCTCTGTTCGTCTCCTCCTGCCTTAGTCCTCCGATGGCGCGTATTTCGAAACTGCCACGTGATGGCGAAATAGTAACTGCCCCTGGGACTAAGCCTTTGGAGGAGCAGACGAACAGAGCGCCGCGCCGCCGCGTGGTCCCCCCCCCCAACTAAGATAGCACCGTATCTCATTCCTTTGACGCCATCTGTGTGTGTTTCGCACAGATTCATTTGCACACTGAATTGAGTACCCGACAGCAGGCCCGCCACGCGGCAAGAAGGCATAGTCAACGGACGAGTTGCAGCGCGTGATGTGCGATATAAGACGTATGATTTGACTTGACGCGAAATCACTAAGTACGCGGTGCAACTCGTCCGCTGACTCTGTCTTGTTGCCTCGAAACGGGCCTCCTGTCGGGTACACCACTGAATTCAATCTCGTTTATATGCAGTAAGTGGATCTGTCCGCTAACCTAATAAAATAAACACCACGGCCAAATATCATATCCATAAATTATCTCCGAACCAAGTGATTTTTGTATCTGGAAGCTCTTTTTTTCTGTATTCACGACCATCGCTTCCCTAAGTCTGTCTTTTCCTTGTACATTTGCAATTTTGTGATCTATTCAGGCGTTTCATCACCGCCGTTTTGTTTTTCTCAGGAACTACCATTTATTGATTGTACAGGTACACTCGCGTATTCTAAACAAATCCTTTTATTATGTAAACACTGAAGCAATGTCATCGGCATTTGTGTATCGTATTTTTTGTCGGTGAGCATAACGCATAAATTGGTCAGTAAATTGACTTTGATTCAAAAGCATAGCATAGGAAGCTTCTCAACATATCGACAGCGCGGCAACTACCCTCGCCTTCAAATGACCAGAAATTGTGCAATTGCAGAAATTGACGTGGCATTAACGTGGCATCGATTCAAGAACATCTTTGAGCACACGTGATGTCACCTTTTCATCGAGAATTTAGCCACGTGTGCCACGTGGATTTCTGGCTGCATGAAACAGAGTGTATGTTCACCGCCATATTCAGGCCACCTTGAGCACTGTGGCAGCAATGTATGTTACACCCATTTTGCCATCCATTTTTTCGTGCATGCCCGACTTCATCCCGAGTATTTTGTTTTCGTTCTATAGAACAAACATTGGTGCAATAAAAGTCAGGATGGACACGCCGTAC